GCAATTTGAACAGGGTATAGTCAGGTTTTCTCACCCAGCTTAAATAAAGCCCTCCTTCAGGTTTATCCTGAGAGGTAAATGGCCTTTTTAACCTTCCATAACTTTATTGGTTTTCAAATCAAGCTACAAAATTTTAATTTTTCAATCCTTCTACTTAAAACAGACCACTTCCTCACACCTTCTCAACTTGCTTAAACCATCTAAAGCTATCCAGACCAACCATTAAAACACCCTACCCCCACCCCAAATTACACTCACCCAGGCTAAGCAGCTTTCCTTTGCAGTTCTGAAATATGAAGGGAGATAAGAATTCCAAAACCAGAGAATAGCACTGTCCCTCTCCCCCATCTCTTTTCCCAAACTGCTTTTACAACTTTATTATGCGTTCTAAACAAATCACTGAAATCTTATCACATTATAAGACCAAAAAACCCTTATTTTTTTTTTCAACTCTAAACACATTGCCCTGATACCAAATATATTGGTGGGAGGGATACAAAGACAGCAATTCAAACTCTTAAGTCTTGGGATCCCATTAAACCTGAATTCAAATTCTTCTAAGCCCCCCCCTTTTTTTCTTTTTCTCTCGGCCCTAGCCATCTTGGGTGGCCAAATTCTTATCAGTAAAGGCCGCTTGCTGTACCTTACACTAACTTCTGAGAGATTCTCTCCTTGCCTTTTTGATTCTACTCTCAATCTCCCGCTGAAAGCCTGAGACGGGAGCTCTTTCCCACTCTTCCTTCTCCAATCTCAGACCTCAAAAGTTAACCCAAAATTTTTCTGGCAGACACAAAACATCCACAGAGAAACAGACAGATGGACACACAACATGCGTACAATTCTCTAACCTTGACCAGTCAAAAGAAACTTTTCCTCCCCTTTTTCCTTCAGTAGGAAGTTTTTCCTGGGTAATCCCACTACTTCAGTTTGCTAGCTAGCGATCCCTGGCCTCCCATCACTAGGTTTTCTCCTCCAAGGGTCCCTTTCCTTCCAGGGACTGGTCTTAACCTAGGATTTGTGACTAATAAGGTTTCCTCTGAGGGTCCTTTTTCTTCCTGGGACTGGTCCTTACCTTGCTCAAGATATCTCGACTTTTATAGTCTCTTGGCCACCTCGGATATCTCCTCCAATTTTTCACTCACCCTTTTCAGCCTTAAAAACCAAAACCTTAGGGTCCAGGTGACACGCAACCAACTCAGCCCAAGGAATAAATCAGGGACCACCAAATTAAGGGCAGGAGTGCCCTTCTCTGAGTTCACTCACTTGGGGTGGGGTCAGGGTCTTTGGATTCCAGATGATTACCCAAATTGTTAGAAATAAGGCCTTAGAAAAATAAAGCCTTCTAGTTAAAAACAAAACTAAGCTCGGAGTGACTGAAGAATCATTTATTTTGCAGTTCTAGGGAGACCCGGGCAAAACCTCTCGGAAGAGATTGTGCTGATTACACAAGCCAGAAAAAGATTTATGCTGTTAGAATGCGGTGACTCCTTCCTTCCAGGCCCAGGTTGATCCGTTCCTTTCCAGGTCACAATCTTACACATCCACCCATCCCATGTCCCCTTGACATGCCCCCCCCATCCCTCTTCATCCAAAAGCCTTTGTCCTACTTAGGGCTAGTTAAAACCGGTTCTGCCCTCTAGAATTTTGGGGTCTATTAAAAGATTAGGGCCCTTCTCATTGGTTTGCCCTTTTAAGGTTTTGCAAGCTTGTTAAAACAATGTAACTTCTTACTGATGTTGTAAAATGTCAGAGGTTATCTTAAATTGTGGGAGCATGATACCTTGTCCCTTACACAGACAAAGAACTATGGAGTCTGAATGCAGATCGAAGCATACGATTTTCTCTCTTTTTTGTTGTTTTCTTGTGTTTTCTTTCTCATGGTTTTTTCCATTTGTTCTGATTCTTCCTTCACAACATGACTAATATGGAAATATGTTTAATATGATCGTACATGTATAGCCTATATCAGATTATATGCTGTCTTGGAAGAGGAGAGTGGAGGGAGGGGGTATTGTGGTCTAGGTGTGCTGGGAACCCCTAAATGTAAGGGTACAGGACACGGATCTGCCTCAAAAGAATATGACCACTCAAGCCTTCTTTCAGTCCCAGTAGAGAGTTTATTATGACACTGGTTGGGGTGGGCAAGATTCCTAGTGAGTCTGTACAATTTAATTGGAGCAAGATGGGCCCACTTTTATATGGAAAGACTGTGGGAAGATCTGGATGTGATCTAGGAGTGGCAAGTAGCCTGGGGTGGTCAGGAGGTAACAGAGAATGAAGGGTTGGGCTGGGTGGGGCCACAATGAAAGGACAGTTGAAAGGATTATACTGGGATAACCAAGTCTGATGCCTTAGGCAAACACTGGGGATCTGGGTTCAGGGGCTGGGTTCCTGAAATTTATTGGAAAGTTCTAGAACTGCGGGTCTTTTCTTTCTAGAGGTCCAGATCCCATACCCCATCAAGGGAAAAGTTTAGAACTCAAAATCTTATAAAAGCGAATGTCAAAAACTAAAAATTAATTAATTAATTTTAAAAAAAGAAAAGAAATAAAGGGAGACAGTAAGACAATTGGATATATAAATTTAGTTTATGGGTATTATAGGGCACTAATGATAGACCGCTAAAAGTCTTTGGACTTTCCCAGGTGGCCTAGGTCCCTGGCATTCACCTGGGGCACCAGGCCCTTTAAGGTCCTTTGCTTTTACTTCACAGTCACCCCAGACTACTTGGCCACTGCTAGATCACATCCAGATCTTCCCACAGTCTTTCTGTGTGTAAGTGTCCATCTTGCCCCCATTAAACTGCTAAGATTCCTTAAGAGTTTGGCCTGGTTGTATTCTCATTACAAAGGCTCAGATTCTTAAAATCTGGCCAATAGCACAGACTCACTAGGAATCTTGCTCACCCCAGCCACTGTTCTAATAAACTCTGTCTTTGGCTGAAAGAAGACTTGGGTCAAATTCATTCAAGGCAGGACCCACATCTTCTGCCCTTGAATGTTGGGGTCCTATCACCCCTAGGTCTCAGCAGGTGGACTTCGTTTAATTACCTTCTTCTTCATGAAGCCTTTTCTCTTCCCTTCAACTACCAGGGCACCCCCCTCCTCAAACTACTTTCTGTTCATTTTGTATATAATCTGTATATACTCACATGTGTACATGTTTTCTCTTCCATTAGAATGTAAGCTCCTTGAGGGCAGTGACTGTTTTACTTTGTCTTTGTTTCCCCATCCCCTAGCACAGTTCCTGTGCATATAGCCAATGGATAATAAAAATGTATTGATGAATTAAAAAAAAAGAAAAGAAAATAGTCCCTGCCCTCAGGAAGCTTAAATTCTAATGGAGGAGACAACATGTAAATAACTACATACGTACAAAATATATTTAGAAGATAATTGGAGGGAGGAAGGCACTAACTAGCAGCTGGGGACCGGGCTGGGGAACAGTCAAGAAAGAAATTACTCATAAATGAAGATGAATGGTTCTACCACGCCTTTTAGCTGAAACTACAGAGACTTTTCTGTGCCATAACATGCCTGAGGAAATTAAAATTATGCTGTATCATTTAATAATTGATTTTACTCTGTAATCAACCCCATTCTGCACTTCGTCAAACCCCATTTCTCATTTAAGCTCAGAATTGTGGTCTCTCCCAGTAAGGCGTGGTCAAATGATGTCATTTCCCTTCTACTAGCCCCAGGGACATCTATTTTACTTACCTGTAAACAGAAACTAGTTTCGGCTGAGCCCCTCCCAATGGACAGTTCTTCTGCCTTTGTTTCTCCTTGTAAAAATAGGGGTAGTTTGATCTCCCTGAGGGGGATGGCTAATCCTGTGGTCCAGATTGGAGTGGTTCTGATTTTCTGGTCAATATTACTGGAGGCAGTTGAGGCCCATAAATAACATGCTTTAATTGTTGCCGGGGTGTGATCGTCAACCCCTGAAGGTCAACCCACCTTTTCCAGGTGAAGCCACTTGTGATATTCCCAACCACTCAAAACTCCTCCTTTTCTGCAGCTCAATAAAGAGGGTTTTCCTCATCCCTTTGTGGTTATTGACCTAACTGAGGGGTCCAGTCTGACCTACTTTATTTTTTTATTGGCTAGGCAATGGGGTTAAGTGACTTGCCCAGGGTCACACAGCTAGTAAGTGTTATGTGTCTGAGGCCGCATTTGAACTCAGGTCCTCCTGAATCCAGGGCCAGTACTCTATCCACTGCGCCACCTAGCTGCCCCTGACCTACTTTATTAACAGCTATATTAACACTATTAATAAACTCTTATTTTACTTGGAGAAATATGCCTCAGTTTCCCTATTATTTGCATTTTACTTGCCACACACCCTAGTTATCCTTCACCTCTCAAGAGAATTCTGAAGATGAACAGAAACATAAGTGATCTACTTTTTAAGTACTAAAGCATTTTTAAAACTATTAATTGAATTCATCCAGATTCTTGTTCTTCATCTATTCTGTGTGTGTGTTGGGGGTGGGGGGAGTTGAAGCGAATTCAAACTCTGTTGCATCTATTTGCACATTTCATTGTATTAGAGCTGGTAAAGAGATGCTTCCCTTCCTTCCAGAGGTCTTCTGAACTGCTTGGCATGAAGCACAACTGGCCTGGATCCTAAGTACTTCATATGCCTAGCCAATGGAAGGATGGCAAGAAAACAGAGCGCATCATAGGGTATTGATGACTTCCATGCTCCTTCAACAAAGTCACTTTCTGGTCATAAAGCTAATTAATTTGGAAAATATGGATGCAGAAGGAGAATATGCAAGTGGGTGATGTGTTGGGGAAGGCCTTCTAGAATTATGGGGAAAGGTTTAGAGACAGGCAATTAAGAAGCACAACCAGAGTGATCTCCAGTTAAGTGGACTGAGGTATGACTTTAGAGCCTTGGGACAATTTAAAGCCATAAGCCCAACTGAATTTGGATAACTGAGTCTCTTCTGAAGTTAGAGAACTGTTTTCCCACTTTTTCTAGCCTCATCCTAGCAGTTAGACACTCTGGGTCCTCAGTCTGCGTCCCAAGGTCCTCTTTAGTGCTACCCTCACCTCCTTGTTACGTAGGGTGTATACCACAGGATTGAGCAACGGGGTGACGACTGTGTAGAAAACAGCCACCATCCGGTCCTGATCTGGGTTACTTCCTGACTTTGGTCTCAGATAGATGATAGAGGCACAGCCGAAGTGCACTATGACCACAGTGAGGTGGGACGCGCAAGTAGAGAAAGCTTTGTGCTGCCCGGCAGCAGAAGGGATCCTCAAGATGGCAGCTCCAATGAAGGCGTATGAGAGCAGAATGAGGAGGAAGGAGACCAGCACCACGATCACGCTGAGGAAGAAGATGGTCAGGGCCTTGGCTGTGCTCTGAGTACAACTAAGTTTGAGAACAGGCGCAATGTCACAGAAGAAGTGTTCCACTCGGTTGCTATGGCAGAAGGAGGAGGAGAAGATGAGACAAGTCTCAATGACAGCCACCAGAAATCCTGAGCAGAAGACCAGGGCTCCCAGACCGAGGCAAACCGGTGGGCTCATGATCACTGCGTAACGAAGTGGGTGGCAGATGGCCACGTAGCGGTCATAGCCCATCACGGTGAGGAGGAAACAGTGACTACAGCCCAGGCCGAGAAAAAAGAACATCTGGGCTCGGCAGCTGGGAATGGAGATAAGCTGATTCTCCATCAGCAGGTGTATCAGCATGTTGGGGATGGTGACCAGTGTGTAGCAAGTCTCTGAGAGGGACAGGACCCCTAAGAAGCAGTACATGGGAGTGTGGAGGGTGTGATCCAGGTAGATAATGGTAATGATAGTGATGTTGCCACTGAGTGTGATCAGGTACATGATCAGGAAAAGAGTGAAGAGAATGGGCTTCAGGTCTGGAAGGTTAGAGAACCCCACAAGCACAAATTCCCTCACTATCCATGTCTCATTTCCCAGATTCATCCCAGGAGCCTAAAAGGCAATAGAACATGAAAGGAGATTTTAACACCAACCATATCTAGAATAAAAGTTTGCCCCAGTGCATCTTGGCTTCCCACCATGCTATTCATTTCGCCCACCTCAATCTTACTCTTCTCCTGCTAATTGTTCTGTTTACTTTAGGCTCAGCATCCCTCTTTGCCTCTGTGCCTTAGTGAATGCAGTTCATCGACCAAGGAATCTATCTGGTGACCCAAAGGATCCAACCTTGCTTTTTTCACAAGATGGAAAGTCACCAAGATGAGTATTATTGTTCTGTAAGAAATGATGAATGGGATGGTTTCAGAGAAATGTGAGAACACTTGTATGAACTGATCCAGAGTAAAGTGAATAGAAACTGAACATTGTATAATAAGAGCAACATTATAAAGAAAGGCATCTTTGAAATACTTGAGGACTCAGATCAATGCAATGATGAATTACAATTCCGGAGGACTGATGATGGAGCATGGCACCCACTTCTTGGCAGAGAGGTAGTAAACTCAAGATGCAGAATAAGACATATATTTTTAGACACAGACAATGTAGGAATTTGTTTTACTTGACTATGCTTAGTTGCTACAAGGGATTTCTTTTTCTTTTTTTCCCCCTAGCCATCAGGAGGGAGAGAGTATGGAAGGGAGAAAAAAGAAAGAAAGAAAGAAAGAAAGAAAGAAAGAAAGAAAGAAAGAAAGAAAGAAAGAAAGAAAGAAAGAGAAAGAAGGAAGGAAAGAAGGAAAGAGAAAGAAAGAAAAAGAAAGAAACAAAGAAACAAAGAAAGAGAAAGGAAGGAAAGAGAGAAGGTCATTGAGGCATCTTTCTTAAAATGCTTTGAAAGCTACAGATTAATTTTATTATAATTAGAAGAGTAAGCTATACATAATGGAGATCTGCAGTTTCACATACAAGCCTCTATTTTCTACTAAGTATATGGAAATGTACATTTTATTTGATTTGTTAAGTTCAAAATAAAAAATGTTAAAAGAAAAGAAGTCACCAAGGCTCAAACACCATACCCTTCTCATTATAGAAGGTCCCAAGTTTGACAGTGCCTGTATCCTATAGCCCAAGGTTTACCCACAGCTAATATTACTAGTGTAGGGTAATCAATAGATAAAACATTGGACTTCTGAGTCAGAAAGACCTAGCTCCAAATCCTATCTTCAACACTTGGTAGTTGCGTGATACTGGCCAAGTTACTTAGTCACTCTAGGACTCAGTTTCCTCATCTGTAAAATGGCAAAGTTGTACTTGGTGACTTCTATGTTCCCTTCTAGCTGTAAATCAATGATACTACAATCTTGTCTGTCTACTGTGCCCTATTTCTGTTGAGTGCAATCTTGTCCTTCCAGGCACTCAGGATCACAGTCTTAGAGAGTTAGTTAGACTTGACTCCTAACTCTGCTTCACATCTCATGTCTAAGCAGTTGCCAATCAGTTGATATTGTTTCCATCTCTAGGTGTCAGACTCAAATAGAAATAGGCCAATACATAAGGATCCCTGTGGGTACATATTGACCTAGGAAACTGCTTATTAACATTATCTATGTTCTACTGTACTTTTATTTATTTTGTTAAACATTTCCCAATTACATTTTAATCTCATTCCAAATGATGCTCTGCTCTACGTCTCTTGCATCAGGTAAAATGTGTAAAGCACTTCGTAAATCTTAAAGAATTATATTCAGGGGCAGCTAGGTGGCGCAGTGGATAGACCACTGGCCTTGGAGTCAGGAGGACCTGAGTTCAAATGCAGCCTCAGACACATAACACTCACTAGCTGTGTGACTCTGGACAAGTCACTTACCCCCAGTTGCCTCACCAAAAAAAAAAAAAAAAGAATTATATTCAGTCCCTTTCAGTCGTTTTTCGCTCCTGTCTGATTCTTCCTGACCCCATTTGGGGTTTTCTTGGCAAAGATACTGGAGTGGTTTGCCATTTCCTTCTCCAGCTTATTGTACAGATGAGGAAACTGAGGCAAACAGGGTGAAGTGACTTGTCCAGAGTCACACAGCTTGTAAGTGTCTGAGGTTGGATTTGAACTCAGGTCTTTGACTTGAGGGATTTTATTCCAGACCCAGTACTCTATCCACTGCGCCACCCAGATCATTATTGTTGTTGTTGTTACAACAAAAACCTACTAATGGTCTTCTGCATCCAGTCTCTCATCTCTCCAATCCATCATCTTCTTCCACATCATCCTCCACACCACTGCCAAAGTGATATTTCTAAAACGCAGAACTGAGCATGTTACTCCCTCAGCTCAATCAACTCTAATGGTTCCCTTTAATCCTAGGATCAAATCCAGCTTTTCTGTTTAGCATTTAAAGCCCACTCCAACCTGACTCTAACCTGGAGTATGTGTATCCCCAAGAGTATGAAAAGTTTATCAAAATAAATATGTGGTAAATAACTATATTATCCTACAGAAATTCATCTATTTATTTTATTTCTTTTGAGCACATAGATGGTAAACTCTAGAATCCCTAGAATCTTCTAAGATCTTTCATAGCTTGAAAATCCTATGGTCCTGTTATAAGGAAAACTAGTGGTGAGTCTGCTATGCCATTACACTCTGGGAGTTTTCCCATAGTGACCCATGGATATATCCAAGGCGTGGAGGGGTTTAGTGATTTGCCTAGGGTCAAACAACTAGTCAATATCAGAGGCTCTCTTTGAATCCATATTTTTCTGACTCTAAACCCAAGACTGTATTCACTATGCCATATTCCTTCTAGTATTTTCTAAAATCCTTCCCCCCCTTTTCTGCATCTAGTATTCCATCACATGCCCCCCGTTTTTCTTTCGCAAGTTATAAGGCTCCTGTGCCTAGACTCATGCTTGAAGGCCCTACATATGAGGAAACTGAGGCCCAGAGGGGAGCTGTGGCTTATTCAAAGTCACCACTAATATGGTCCAATACAATGAACCAGTAACATCATGTGTAATGTCAACAATAGAATGATAGAAATTGAGAATGCAGGAACAAAGGAATGAACTTTTTTTCAAGAAATATTTTTAAATGTTTTCAAAGTATTTTAAACTGAAAAACTATTTCAAAAATGGGGCAAACATTTATCTTTTGAAAAGAACTAGAGGGCAACTAGATGGCACAGTGGATAGAGCACCGGCCCTGAAGTCAGGAGGACCTGAGTTCAAATCTGACCTCAGACCAAACACTTGTGACGTACTAGCTGTGTGACTCTGGGCGAGTCATTTAACCCCAATTGCCTAAAAAAGAAGAGAACTAGAAAGTGTGTATTTGGGGTAATGTATATGGGAGGGCCTGTTGTTGAATTCAGAGAATGATACTCCTTAATATGAACAAACATGGAAAGAAAGGAAGGAAGGAAGGAAGGAAGGAAAGAAGGAAGGAAGGGAGAGAGAGAGAATCACAAGCCATGTGGATAGAGCACACTGTAAAAATGGCCAAAGAAATGGGTGATCTAGGTACACAGAGAGTAATTCTTCAGAGGGACTCTAGCTGGGCTGTTGGAAGAAGCTGACTTCAACTTCAAGAAGACCTAGATGGAGACTAAGAAAGATCAAGAAATCCTGAGACTGGTGCAATGGAAAGAGTGCTGGATCTGGAATCAGTGGTTTTGGGTTGGAATCAGAGGTTCTGACCCTTATTCCCTGTGTGACCATGGACAAGGGACTTCCTTTCTCTGGGCCTCACTTTCCTTATCTTTTAAAATAAGGGAACTGAATTAGGTTCATTAGAAAATAAGGATCTTAAATCTAGAACCGTAAGAGAATTTAAGGTTATAATCACAACCCCTTTATTTTACAGACTAAGGAAAATGAAGTCCAGAGAAGGGAAGTAGTAAGCTTAAGGTCACACAGCTAAGTGAGTGGCTGAAACAGAATTTCAGCACAGGTCCTCAGTGACCAAATTTCTAGCTCTAAATTAGGGGTGTCATATGCACTGCCCATAACAATCCTGAGTGCAGCCCAACCAGATGAAAATGAAATAGGGAAATATTTGATAAAATAAACAAACATAAGAGAACATTAATAATGCTGATGTAGGGTTTTCTAAGTCAATATGCCTTCTGTAGGGATCCTTTCATATGGTTTAGTGGCCCCATTTCCATTTGATGTTGACACTGCTAGAGTAAATCAGTGAGCCTTTCATCTGGAGCCAGATTCAGAGGTGACAAATTTCAGCCCCAGTGTGGAAAAACTTGGTCTGGGTTAGAGAATAACCCTCGTGCCAATGAAGAGGAAGAGCTCAGGAGAGCTTGAAATGCTGCAGGGCATGTCCCTGGAAGAGACAGGAAGAAAGAGCTTCAAAATGACTGATCAGATATGATCTGCTCCTGGCTCTGAATTACAGTCATCAAAGATGTGATCTTGAGCTCTGACACCGGTGCCAAGTGCAAGTACGGCCTTAGTGCACGAAATGCTGGAGGGAAGGGCAGAGCTGCCTAGATTGGCTGATCATTGTTCTGGCTATCTTCCTAGAGGTAACACACCAACAGAGATGACAAAGTGCTAATGCAGGGAATACACCATCCACCAAGAACATTGCAAGCGTGCTTGCTTCTCCGTGGGGCACCAAAGTCTCACCTCAGTCTGAGTTTGTCTTGTCTTTCTTGCACACCTGATCTGTAACAACTCACAACAGCAGGATTCTGTGGCTAGTCTCAATCCACTAGCAACGGAAACACAATTTCCTGGGCTTGGCTGAATCCAATTTCCACATGTCCAAAATCACCTGGGAAGTGGCTCCGATGGCTTCCATATTGCCTCTGCAGCCTCTCGGGGTCGCTCAGCATGCCAGCACTACAAAAGCATGTCAGAGAAATTACCCAGCTCGAGCGACAACAAGCTGTGCCACTCTGGGATCCCCATCCTGCCTCCCCCTAGTGACCCACCCACCTAGAAAGGCTGGGCGTGTTTCACACTCGCAATCCCTCCTTTCCACGTCCCTTAAGCAGCCCAGATGTGGGGCATCAGCATCCGTTGGAACAACACAGCTG